AAATTCTGAAGTTTAAATGATTTGTAAACAACTGGTTTGATACAAAGGTTCTAAATTAATTTCTTTTGCCATTATTTGACTGATATTAAGGCCAATATAAATACAACCTCAAGATATTCTTTTACTAAGGAGACTACTATGGGTGCTCTATATGGTTTCTAGTTACATCTATTTGCATTTTAGAACTTTGTATCAATTTAACTGTACTAAGAAGTCCTACCAAATGATTAAATTAGGTAAAAATTCAAAAGAACTCGGTTATGACTTGCAAATGAAGTTTCTTTGCTTTTAACCTTGAATAACTCTACTTATGTGGTTTAATGCATTTCATAAACCACAATCCTGATAAAGAATTGTTTTCACACTATCAATTCAACTCACATTTTGGCATAATGATGGATAAATCACTCAAGCCTTCGAAGCAGTGGTCTGTTGCTAGTAATAAAATTATCAGAATATTTGGGTGTGGTTACAGACATGCTGATTACAAGTCAAAAGACTTACCTATTTCTCTATAAAGAAAAAAACACTAGTTAGGCCTCACTCAGAATATTGTGTACAGTATTGGTCACCTTATCCAAGAAATATTTACTTATTGAAAATAGTTCAAAGGAGGGCTACTAGAATGATTCCAAGGATGGAAGGATTATCTTACAGGGATAGCTCAAGATCTTTTAACTTGTTTTCTCTTGAGAAAAGAAGGGAAAGGGGTGATCTTATTGAAGTTTATGAAATTATCTGGGGGATAAATATGATATAAGCCTTTGATATTTTAGTACTGTATTCTTAAGATAATAACAAGAGAGGACACAAGTTTAAGATTTGGAAAAAAGACAATATAAGTTGAACTTAAAACAATTTTATTTTTCTAACAGGGTTAATAACATACGGAATGAATTGCCTTCAGAAGTAGTGAAGGCTGGTGCTTCAAAGCAGCTTAAGACAGGTATCAATGATATCCCGAAACATGAAGGAAATATCCAAATTTGTATTTTTGTCAGTTGTGGGTAAGCAAAAACAGCCTTAAAGGGCCAAATGGTACCTTGTTGTCTCCAAGTTATATTGTGAATATGATTTCTGGAAAATTCTCACTTATTTTCTTTAAATAATTAAACTCAGTTGACAATTTTGTATTAGCTATATATTATTTTTGGACAAGAACCCACTTATTATGTACATGGACAGTATATCAATTAAAAAAAACACTTTTACATTTTCTTTAATATTTCGATGTTTTACAGTTACAGTAAATTCGATCGTTTTAAAGTTACTGTTCTCAATGTGGATGACTTTTAATTAAAATAACTGTCTTGACATTTCTTGTCGCTAATTGCTATATTAAATTAGTGAGACCCCAAAACAACGTCCCTTTTCTGATGTACGTTTTGCTCTGTACTATAGTACTATTACATTATTAGTAAATAACTATTCGTAATTAAGTGTACCACTACTAATAGTTAATGACTACCATTTAATAAAACTGACCTGTTTTCATATGATTACTGTTAGTAGCCGTACTGAAAGTTAACTTTAGTTTAATTTGTAAGCTTTTGGCGATATATTTCAAATTTTCATCATCTACCTACGATTCGTAGAACTACAAATTACAGATTTGTATTACAAATTGTGATAGCCATCTCAGTTAATACTTTCGATAAAATATAAGTATTTCGATATTCTAAAAAATGGATCTTTATATAACTAATCAGACTAGTCATTAGTTACCGTTAAAATGATTACAAATGGAATCCATCCCGCTGCTACAAACCCTCCAGGAATCGCCATGTTTACTTCCTATAGCAATAGATCATGTGGTAAACAAACTAAGGGACCTATATTTATTTTGTCTTCTTTTTTATGCGTACTACGTATCTAATATAAAGTGTGATATATTTATTCAATATTAAAGCAGTTTTCACATTTCTCATTTTTGGTGCTTTTGGCATAATATTTCCTGACTATGGTCCATAAATTTTACCTATTAATATTTATATCTTGATCAAACGATCGAAGTTCATTTTATGTTTTTTGTTTTTTTAGCATGTTCACAACTGAAGATGTAGTGGCAGCGTGCCCATATTCTATAAGGTTGTCAAGATTTTAATGTCGCGTTTTGGAACACTTTCATTAACCACCCCCGAAAAAACGTACATCACGTATAATAGTTAAACGAACATTCTAAACGTCACGTTAGTGTATCCTATGTAATGTATAAAGTTAGTATACTCTAATCCCTTATAGTGTTTGTTTGTTTTTGAATTTCGCGCAAAGCTACACGAGGGCTATCTGCGCTAGCCGTCCCTAATTTAGTAGTGTAAGACTAGAGGGAAGGCAGCTAGTCATCACCACCCACCGCCAACTCATGGGCTACTCTTTTACCAACGAATAGTAGGATTGACCGTCACATTATAACGCCCCCACGGCTGAAAGGGCGAGCATGTTTGGTGTGACGGGGATTCGAACCCGCGACCCTCAGATTGCAAAGCCAACAACAATAATAACCATTTTGCAAGTTACAGTAAGAGCTTCGAAAAAAAATAAGC